CAGTATGCTATGCGACATAAGTCAGTCACGAAAGGACAAACACTGTATGGTTCCAATCATGTGAAGTGCTCAGGGTAATTGAATTCATAGAGACAGAAAGCAGAAAGCTGCCAGGGCTGGGGGAGGAGAGGTGGGTGTTAGTATGTAATGGTGTAGAGTTCTAATTAGGGAGATGGAAAGTCCTGGAAAGGGTGGGTGGCGAATGTTACACAAATGTGTGAATGGACTTAACGCCACTGAACTTGACACTTAAAAATGATTCAAATGGCAAATCACATGCTATGGATATTTTGCCACAAATTTTTCTTGCCTACATTTTGTTCTAGACTAAAGGTTTATGAAATTCTGGTGGAGAGATGAGAGAGGAAACCAAAGCATCGTGGTGGGAGGCCTCTGGAAGTTCTGGCTGCAGGGCCTGCGGGTTGAGGCGAGATGCAGAGCTCCAGGGCAGCATACTACAAAAGAGCTCACCAGTGTCTGCAGGTCACCTAAGACACCTGGTGACTCCAGTTAATGGCTTTTCCTAGCAGGCGTGTGGCAGTTAGAGACAAGGCTCAAATGTGGCTCCTGAAAAAAGAATTTTCCTCCTCTCTGAGCAAAGGTCAGGCAACAATTATGCCCCAACTTTTACTATGAACCATTCTTCTCTTGACTTTTTAAAAATACTGTGATGAAACTGACTGGTTCTGCCTGGCCTCCTAGAATATCTGAATATTGGTAATATTGGAAAAAAATACTTTAGAAACCATCTCTATTGGGCAACAATAGAGATGCACACCTCTTTAGAACAAAATGTAAACGTTTCTTGGTGAAGTCCTCCCACACCTCGTGATGATACCTTCAAAGGACTCCTGGTCAAGATCCCTGACCAGGGGCCTCTTATTAGGGAAAGAAGAGCTGGGAGCTTGCTTTCCAGAGCTTGCCTGCACACAAACACATCTACCAAGCATTGATCAGAAGCAATTTTAACACCGTGTTATGTTCTCTGGTGCTTTCTCTATTATCGAAAGCCTTTCATAAAGAGTTGTAATTTTCACCTATAAGTGTGCTTATAATTCTTGAAAGCATAGTATGAATCAGAAATGGGGTTTTAATAACTATTATAGAAATGTATAAAAAATATTAAGAATGCAAAGTGTAGTCTCCAAATCAGCAGTAAAAACATCACTAAGTGCTGTGCTAGGAAGGCAAAATTTTATGTCCCAATCCTCTTGAATTAGAAACTTCATGGGTAGCACCCAGCAATCTGTAGTATATCAAACTCTTGAGGGGCTTCTGATACACATTACAGTGTGGCAAGAGAGATGGAATAATGAAACTGGTGGAAGTTTTATTAAAAATTGTGATTTCTATAACAAATAATAAAGTTTAAAAAAATGGCAAGTAACTATGCTAATTATTTTATTCTTTCTTCTTGGCCAGACTTTGAATAGGTTTTAAAAATAAAAGAGCAAGGAATGAACACACATGGACTATTAGTGTGCCAATATGTGCATTAAATTGCCTCTAATAAAATAAATTTTTCTCTATCAGAAACAAATGTGTTATATGACAAAAAAATTAATATCAAAAGACAACCATGTGACATAATAAGTGTGAGGAAACAAGTGATCTTTTGGGATTTTAACATCTGATGGTGGGAAAATGGCCTCCTAAACATGGCTGATGTTACATGGTTAAATCACTTCTACAGACCTCACCTGAATTACCTTCCCAAAGATGGGGGAATGTAACAATTGAGAAAATGAAATACAGAAAACTTACACAGCTTACCAGAAATTCAGTTACAGGTTATTCTTAAATTGTGAATATAATCTTTTAATCTTATCCATAGAGTAAGTGTGGACAACTGTATACAGATTTATGATGAGCTTTCAGGGGCCAAGTGGGAGTTTTGCATTTTCCAGATTCCATGAACTATGGATGAGCAGGTGGCAGTATGGTAATTAAATATGTAGAATAAGAAATGATGTTTCCTGCTCTGCTCCCCGCTCTGGCTCTGGTGAATTCTCTCACCCTCCCGCGCTTCTGACTGTACCCAGTGCATGTATAAACAAAACAAACAAACAAACAAACAAATAAATAAATAAAAAAACATGCCTCTATTAAAAAAAAAAAAAAGAAATGATGTTTCACCTTTAGCTGCTAAAGATACATGACAACTACAGACAGGAGAGGAGAGTAAAGAAGAAGAAAGAGAAGCTGGAAGAAAGAACAAATGTAGATACAGAGATTTGGGACATGAAAGAGATCCAATAAGCTCATTTGCTCATTCACTCAGTGATAAAATGAAATACCCAGTACTCTGAAATACCCACTACCTTGGTGATAATATCATAGGCTGTGGCAATGTTTTTGTTTGTTTTTCCTGAAATATGCACTTCTTCTGGAAAAAGCAGAATTCCTAGGATTAGACTTGGGTATACTTTTATTTTTCAAAACAGGAAAATACTAAATATTTTTAAATGCAAAATACTCAAAAGTAAGAGCCTAACTTATTTATACTGGAATCACTCAGGATATTTTTAAAAAGATAAACATCTTGAAGATGCACTCTAAAAAAACAGTCTGCTTATTTAGAAGTCAGGTGTCCTGTAGTAACCTCAATCAAAGGAAAGACCCAGCACAAAGAAAGAAGGAAATTAAATGAAGATGTCTCTGCGTCCTGTGCCGGAAGGCTGACCCCATCAGAAACCTCCATCCTCACACAATACCATGACTGTGAGACATGAACTTAAGGGCTCAAGTTGACCTTGTGGTGGCTTTGAAAGCCAGGCTCTCCTCTTAGAAATGCCAAAATGAACAGGGGGAAAAAAAAGGAGACGGGGAGACACTGGCAAAAGGCAATGGCTAAATAGATCATGGAAAAGGAATAATGGGTGGATCTGCCCATCGGACAGTCCTCAACAGTCCCAGATGACAGCTGAGAACAGCCCTGGCTAGGAGCAAGAGAAACAGCAAAGTTGGCCTAGTTCTGCTCTCAGGAGAAGAGGAACACAGTGCCCGAGAGTCCCTTGCAGCAGTCCTGTACCAGGCAGGCACACACAGCAACACACACTGCATATCAAGAAAAGCAGCCCTGTGCACCAACATCCCACACCGTGGTAGGGCCTCAGGCCAAGACAGTACACTGCACACAGAGTTGACCACAAACTTCCTTCTACTCCCACATGCCTAGAATTAAGGGTCCCTGGAGCACGATTTAGGTAAAGCAGGCATCTCTCCCTATCCAAAAGCACCTGGTCCCTGAGCTCAGACCTTCTGCATGTGCTTGTTCCACAGAAAGGCAATAGGTCTTTTGTGAGGTCAGCAACCTGAAGGATGCTTTTCTCATCTACCCTCCTTCCAGGGACTGTCTACTTCTCCCCAAGCCCTAGTAAAAAAGAATGAACATGGCAGAAGTCTCCACACAATGGGATTGTTTTATCATCTCCTTTCTAAGCAGTCTCTTAAATTTTGAACTCAAAAATTTCTAAATCTAAATCAAGATTATACTTTGTGTCTATGAATTATAACCATCCGGTAAGCACCTTGGACTGGTCACTTTATATTGCAATTTGTTTTCCATTTTTTCTTAGTTTCTGCTTAAAGAGTTAAAAGTGCTGCTGAACTTAATTCTCTTAAGTCTCAAACATGACCTAAAGGAAGCTCTGTGCAGAGTTTACGTCACGTGAGAACAATTTAATGTGATATCTTGCCAGAGATGATAAACTCTGGAGGCGGATAAGGAAATCTCAGCATTCAGATTTCAGATGGAGCTAATGTTTAGGCCCAGTGTGCTTGCCCCAGCACATCTAAGGCTGCCGCTAACTCCTGAGTTGCTGACACTGTAAAGGAGTTGGGTTTCCTCTATCCTGATGCTCCTTTTCCTCAACAAACCGATCGCAGCTGTTTCTCCGCAGGAGAAAAACACTCTTGTGACCTTGGCTCCCTCTCAGGACAATGAATAGGAGCTTTGAATACACACTTATTATTGTGTTATCAACCTTATTAGATAACAATTATAGTACAAAGTACATGCTTACTAGTTTTATAGCTGGTGTTAAAAAAAATTAAACTGAAGTAGGCTATAACCAATACAGTGTAATCATAAAAGACTCTTAATACTCATTTTGGGGGGCCTGACTATGCGGAAGAAGTATTTGCAAAGAAGTCTATAAACATGGGTGAACATACAAAAAGGCTACCTTGGGAGGTACTGGCTCAGTTATTGCAGACAGACTCAGCCACACATGCGAAACACAAACCCCAAATTTGTCTATGCTGGAAATGGATCTGCTGCAAGTCAAGTGGCCTCAGACATCCCATTCAGTCCACATACACAAACTCATCTCTCTTGAGAACTGTCTTTTTCTTTTCTGTCCCGTTCACAAGTGCTTTAAAAGCTTCTCAGCGATGAAAGTGGTGTGGCTCAAGGCAGAGATGACCTTGGGATTATATGGTTTTAAAAGAAAACAAACCAAGTAACAAAAGGTTGGGGAAGAAGCCAGGCGCCGCTCTGGCTGAGAACATTTGCTGTGCCTCTCACCCAGAGAGAAGCAAAGTCAACCGCCAGGGCCCTGGTGGGTCATTAACAAAATGGGAACCTGGGAGAAAAATGTGTTTTGAGTCCTTAGAATAGAAAAGAGATAATCTCAGTTAGCAGGCAAGACAAGCTTCAGTAGCTAAAAAACATTTTACTTACCCTCCCATCTGCAAGAATACATCTCTAGGGGAATAGCGCCAACCGTCCACAGGTAAGTGTTCCACTGAAAGCAAATCTAAGCACACCCCAGAGCAGCAACCTGATGCAGGTCGTACAGAAGAAGGGGTTCATGGAATTTAATATGAGCCCCGAATATCTTTATACTATTTCAAGTGTATTCACAGGAAAATGGGAATGGCATGCAAGAACCAAATTGTACCGCTCTTTTGCCTGCTTCTCCCCCCAACACACACACACAGAGTTTTCTCCTGAAAGTTCCCAGCACCAGGCGACCTGGAGACCCAGGGGCACTTACCGAAGACTCGCTGTCCCTAATGAGGAAATCACCCTCGACGCCCCTTTCGTTGAGCGCGCACTCGGCCTGGTGCCGCGTCACGTTCCCGTAGTACCACTCTCTGCCCGCAAAGCGCCCGGTGCACGCAGGCCCCGTGTAGCTTATCTGCGGGGTGTGCGACGGGTGCAGGGCCGGCCCGTCGCTTAGGACCACCACGTAGTTTTTGGGGACAAGGCCGACCTGCCCCCGGGCATTTTTGCATTTCCACCACTCTGGGTCATTTTCAGGTTTCTCAATCACTTCCATGGTCTCTCCCTTCTCGAAATTGAGCTCCTCCTCGGTGACTGAACTGAAGGGGTACAGCGTCTGGACCACATGCAGGACCCGCCCCCCCTGGCCATTGCTCATGGAGGCGCCCTTGCGCAGACTTAGAAAGCTGGGGGACTCGGCGGCCGCCTCGTCCACCTCCTCCAGGACGTAGTTGGAGGGAAACCAGCCGATCTGCCCGTTGTAGCTGCCTCGCCACCAGCCGTCGCTGCATTTCTCCATGACCGTGACGCGCGACCCCTTCACCAGGGACAGCTCATCCTCCCTCTCGGCCACGTAGGCGAACTTGACGAAGGCCGGGATGTTGAGGTCGTAGATGCGGTCAGCGCCGCCCCCGTTGGCCGGGTACTCAGCGTCCGTGCTGGGGGTGGGCGATGCATCGCGCGCGCTCGTCTTCCTCTTAGTCTTGCCCAGGCCTGTGGAGACACAGCAAGGGCTCAGTGGAAGGGGCACTAGAAGGGGCCACCTGGCTTGTGATCCAGGCACCCAGAATTCTGACATGACCTCCTCATTAAGTGGGGGGAGGGGGGGCAAAACATCATGGTTACCAACTGCAGCCATTACAGAAATAATATGTCCAAAAATATGTCCAAAAATAAAATGTCCAAAACTGATTTTACTCTTAAAAATATTCCAGGGTACCAGCAACACCAAAGATAAAATAGTGGAAAGCTGAACTTCTAAAACAATGATATGCTTTTAGAGAATTCTTGTGACACTTAGAAAAGCAAGGTATAAAGGCTAAGACAGATTGTCTTCTGTCTTCTTGTAGTGGGCTGCAAGTGGGATAAAAGAACTCAAAGATCCCCCCAACTGTACTGCTGGGTCAGGTCTTCTGCCCTGCTCCATTAGGCCTTCCTCTGGTCCAAGCACCCTGGAAAGGTGGCAGGTGCCCTAAGTATAGCATCCCCTGACACTCTTCTTTCTGCTCTTCTTGAAATTTGCTTCTTTCAAAACTGTAGACATTTCCCATAAAAGGTTGTGACGAGTGAATTAGGAAAAATTAGATATGCCTATTATACGGCAGCAATTTTCATATTGATTCAAAACCCACCAGTGGATTCTAAAAATCAGTGTAATGGACTGTGACCAGCCTACATGGGTGTGTTGGTTTTTTAAAGGAATAAAACAGAAAATCTTAGTGTGTATCAACATAGGAAAAGCATTGCTGCTTCTATTACATATGTGTCAGTGCTGAGTTGTAATGTGAAACATTTCTCTGTATGCATCAGGAAAATGGCTTTAAAACCCCTAAAGCAAAAATGATTTAACCTGGTTAAAATTCCAGAACCTCTTGAGAAGTGAGCCTCAAGGAAGAAAGCACATCAGACCCTGAACTGGTGGGGCTGGCCATACCTTTCAGCTTCTCCTGAAAGGTGGCTACTCACCCACCATCCCTGCTTCAACCTCTTACCTTAGTCAACACATGAATTTGGATGGTAACAAAACTGTAGCTATTTGCAGATTTTTTTTTCCTTCAAAAAACCAAAGCACTTTTATAGATAATTTGTACTCTCTCCCCTTTTATTCCTTCAATGGGAGGACAGCTCCCCTGCCCAGCAGGCAGGGAGGTCAAGAGGGAGTAAAAGTGCTATATCATGCTGGTCGTAGATGCAGAGGACTGCCTTCTAGATGGGCCCCCAGCTCAGTGCCACCAGTTGGGAAAGGGTGCGTATGGGGTGACAGCCCACTGAGGTGGTCTTTCCATGGATTTTCAAATAAATGCACCAATTCTTTCAACTAGCGGCTTCTGTTTTTTCTTTTTGCACCATTTTACTCAGGTACATGGAAATGCAACCAGGGTGTTGGACCAAGTTGAAAATGAAAGAATTAACTTGCTTTACATGAAAATCAGAACCTCTCCATCTTAGAAATAATACTTCCATGTCATTTCAACAGGATTTATGCCACGAGAGAAAGGGCAGAGTATATTATTCCGAAGGCAGACTGCTGTGGAAGTGAGCTCTGCAGGCACAAAATTCATGGCCTAGTCAGCGCCTACACAGCAACAACTGGGCAGAGTGCAATGTTTTCTGGCAACGAAGATTGTAAGACATACTATTTAGAAATAACTTCTTAATAGATCTGTTCAAATTTGTGAGTACCAAAAGCTACTTAAGAAATTACTTAGGTAAGAACAGTTTTCAGAACATAAAGGTGTCAAGATTTCCAGAAAAGACACTGGAATTTAGCCTTCATAATAAATTGTTGAAAACATTTTGCAACTGATTGCATATGAATATATTACTTTGATGACCTTTTTTTTTTTTAAAAAAAAAGATTTATTTATTTATGCATACAAGAGCTGGGGTATAGGCCAGAGATGCGGGGGGTGAGAGGATTTACCAGAGACAGAGCAGGGAACAGAACAAGCAGACTGACTGAAATACACTGCTGAGGGCAGCAGCGGGCGAGACAGGAGAGGTCCGCTGTGCCCTTTGGGTTTCTCCCTGGCTGGCCAGGGATTGAACTTGTGCTGCAGAGGCTGTGGATTGCTTCACAGTGCGGTGCTTAACCCCTTGCGCCACCAGGGAGGCCCACTTTGAAGACCTTTTTCAAACACAAAATAATTTAAATAAATTATTTCTTCTACCAAGGTCCTGCCAGGCACCATCTTAGATTTTAGGGAAAGCGAATAAACAGGACATACTCTCTGCCCAAACAGAGCCTCCATTTCTCTACCAAGACCAAAACATTCTACATAGCAACCATACCACGGCCATTAATCCATTTTGCTTTAATGTGATCTAAACAGTCTTTGAGGCAACCAGGCGAGGGAGGAGTGGGTAATACAGCTGAATAATTGGGAGGATTTTCAGAGTAAATCATAGCTGGACTCTTAGGCAATTTACTTAATCTCTGTGTCTTAGTTTCTAACCCATAAAATGTACACTTAATGGCACTGAATCTGTTGACTAGTGTAGCCATAACAAAGAATCAGACTGAGATGTCTAAACAACAAAAATTAATTCTCTCATTCTCTGGGGCCTGTAAATCAAGATCAGGGTGTTGCCAGGATGAGTCCGTCTGAGGCTTCTCTTTGACTTGTAAGTGGCTGTCTTCCCTCTGTGTATGTTTATTTAAATTTTTTTTTTAATTTTAATTTTTGTGTAGAAGAACTTGGGTATAGATCAGAGGTGCAGGGGGTGAGAGGATTCACCAGAGACAGGGTAGGGAACAGAACAGGCGGAATGACTGAAATACACTGCTGAGGAGAGCAGCGGGCGAGACAGGAAAGGTCTGCTGCCATATGTGGGGTTAGCTCCCTGGGATAGTGCTATGACTTAACCCCTATGCCGCCAGGGAGGCCCTGTCTAATTTATCTTAACATAATGCCTTCAAGGTCTATCCATGTCACAAATCATAAGATTTCCTTCTTCCTCATGGCAGAATACTATTTTACTGTGTGTCTTATAAGATAGTCACTTTGGATTAGGGCCCGCCCTCAAAGGCCCATCCTTAAATTTTAACTTCATTAACCACTTTAAGGTCATACACCGCACACAGTCACATCCTGAGATATTGGGGAGGTTAGGAATTCAACATATGAATTGAGGGATGTTAATTTTGTCCATAACAGGTACCTAAATTCAGATTATAAATATAAAGCATAGGACTTTGATTTTTTTTTTTTTTTTTCTCCCTCAGACAGTATTTTACCAGAGGGCCAAAGTCCTTTTTGAATGTCCTGGACCATGATCCTACCAGAGCCAGATGGCCCACTAAATAAGAAAGCTTGCCTGTCAGGCTTTTGGCAGCTGGGGAACATATTCCATGACAGCAATGTCATACATAGTTGCTACGGCAGTGAAATTCAAGAGGTAGGTGTCTGGGATGAATAAGGAGAAACCCAATCACACCGACATCTACATTATGATTTTTTCTCTCATGACAGTTCTATGACAAAGTGGACATCCCCACCATTTTTGAAAATAGGGAAACTGAGGCAGAAATATATCAGGGAAATGGTACAACACACATGGCACAGTCAGACCCGTGGCCCCAACAGAAGCCTATATAATCCATGACGGATAAGAGGCACTGTTCTGTTAGAGGGGTGATGTCTATGATAGTTGCACCATCATTGCACCGTGATTTTTATGAGAAATGCTTTCAGGACTCTGTGTTGGGGTGTCAAGAATCTATCCTCATGACACTCCCCACCACTCACCAATAGCGATAAAACCTTTCTGTTTCTAGGGAGTGAAAACGGTCCCCGTGTAAGCAGGTAGAAGTGGGGCTGAAGTTTAGGAAATGAAGATTTAGGATAAGAATTGTATCTTGAAGAACAGGTCAGGGGCCCGAGGACAAGTGACGCAATTGGCTAGAACAGGCTGAGGGACATGTGGCGGCACAATCACTTGGATGGAACAATCACTTGGATGCTGAGAAAGGGGCCTCTGGTTCCCCTTGTTTCCTCTCTTCCTCCCCTTCCCGATTCTGTCCAATACCCAGAGCCAGGGGCCTGTGGGACAGAACTGGGAGATCCTAAGGTGTTGGCAAAACAAGACTCAATTTGACCTTCCCCATTCACTGCAGAGAATATCCAAAACAGCAAAAAAGCTGCCCATGGGTGGGGGTGGACTTGGGGACAAGGTGTTGGGCAATGTGTAGGGGGTGAGAGGTAAGGGAGCAGGTGACATTTCTGTATGAGGACAATTAACTGCAACCAAGAGTCAGGCTGTCTCTAATATGATGTCTATGACAGAGCAATCCCTGGGGGGGCTCAGCAACCCTCCACTGTTGTCTTATTGCCTGATCCTCACTACTCAAAGCCATGTGACAGCCATGAGCTCTCAGGCGAAGGGCTCAAATGCACAACAGGCAGTGAGCTGTGTGTGTCTCACAGAGAGTCTGCTGAGCTCCCCGCCAACCCAGGTCAGACAGGAGACCCATGCTGCAGCCCCAGGCCCTGGTCAACCCACAGCGGGTGCCAGCTCCACTCCACCAATGTCACTCATTCAAAGGTAAATCTGCTACCTTTTAGGGAAAGAGGCAGCTTGGGAGGCCACAGTTTCCCACTTTTTTCTGTGTATATATTTTTTACACATCTTCTGCTTCATTTTTTTTTTCTTCATTAGTCATCCCACTTACTTCTCCCACTTGTAACAAACATAAATTTGGTCATCAATGTGTGTGTTGGGTTTTAATAAAAAGAATGTGATTTTTTTTTCTTCTTTCCCCTCAGGAGAGGCAAATCCTCACACACAATCTTAAGTATCGTTCCCTACTATAAATAAACAGGTACTAGCCAAAATGTAGCAGATCATGTTTTGGAAAAAACACAGATATACTAAAGGCATTTTTGAATGGTGTTCGTTTACCTGGCACACGCACTTATGCTACCCCTCTCTCACCAGTTGGGAGTATACAACAGCACTTGCCCTTGAAGCCCGCTCATCTTGCACCCAATCAC